TCCGAGAAGAATTCTACAGGATTCCTACAACCCGCCTTAGGTACTTTATCCTCGCAATAATTATGTAATTATTGCACCCAAGTAAACTTTTAAATTTTTAATTTTTAATTTTTCTTCTTTTGTTATTTTTCTATCTTTTACCCCACTGGACAAACGTATTCCACTTTCTACTTTTTAAAATTTTACTTATCCCCATGGGCAGCCAGCCAGAGGCTATACTCACTTCCACCTCCAACCAATGAGAGACCACCCACATAGCTCTCAGCCATGTATGAACCTTCCACGTCTTGAAAATGACCTTAAGCCCCTTCTCCCGGATTCCACCGCCGCAGCCAATAGCCTGCATGCTACATCGCAGACTGTGTAATTCCACGAAAGTCAAGCCCCACTTCAAAGACTCTTAAAGATATGGGATTGAGGACTCTGTGTGTGTATCAGTCCACACAGATGCCCAAAAATAGACTGCCATCCACTGTAAAGAAGTTTTTAAATCCTGGTAACACACAGGCTGCTGCATGAGATCAGACGAAGGGGGAGGGGAAGGAAATGCTTTAAGACCAAGACAACATTGGAAATTTAAAAGGAGGAATTATGATCAAAATTTTAAAACTCCTCATTTTTTGTGCTTTTGTTTATTATTATTTTCAATATTTTTTTTTATTTTTCGTACTGATCAAACACTAAATTGGAAGCATTTAAGATACACTTCTACACAATTTCTGCATAAAAAAGGAATGTCAAATGATTACCAATAAAAAATACATATAAACTTTAAAGTGTTTAATTCTGTTATTTCATAGAATAAATAGGTATTTCATGAAATAACTAGACAAGTCAGTTAAAGTGTATAATAGATGAAATATTTCATACTTTACCTAGTTATTCTATGAAATAACTATTGATGGACCTTTAAAGTGAAAAATAAAAAAATTAGGTTATTTTATAAATTCATTTATCATAAATTACTAAAACCTCTCGAAAAGTACATTTAAATCCCTACTGTGGACGATTAATTGATAAATAATAAGAAAAAGCAGATAACATAATTTATTATTGCTTATATTGCCAGCATTAGTTAAACATAAAGGAGAACAAAAATAATATATATTAAAAAAAAGAAACTTAGTCAATTCCTACTAAGAAACAACAAAGAAAATTTTTATGTTAGTTACTTTTTATCATACAGCTACAATTAATATGAATATTAATAACATATGATAGAATGACAATATTAAGTGATAATTAATTTCTATTAATTATTATTAAAGTATCATATTGTCATCCAAAACAATCGTGTACTATATAAAATTTCAGCTGAACTGAATGCTTTAAAACGTGAAAAAAAATCTTTTATAAAGTTTTGACCCAAGTTGCTAAAAGTGAAACCAGCGTGACTCTGTATCTGTAATTTTTAAATAATTAGTTTCAGTCAGTCAATTTTAATTAATTATACTTGAATTACCGTATTGTCACCCAAAGCAATCGTGTATAGAAAATTTCAGCTCAAATGAGTTCTTAAAAATGTGAGAGAAAAACCTATTAAAGTTTTGACACAAGTCGCCAAGTGAGTGAGTGAGTGAATATTAACGTCCCACTGTTCAGCTACATGAGGGCTTTTGGTGATGGACCTCGTAATTTTGAACCATGGTCAAGTGACGAGGACGACACGTGAGCTGGCACCCCCTCTCCTAACTACCACACTACACCAACGGGAGGACGTTTAAGCTCTCTATAGATTTAATGTGCATCACTCCCCTACACGGCGGGTCTTTAGTGGTACTCGGCTCAAACTCCTGACATGCCTGCCATGATCCGACCGATACCTTGACCACTGGGCTACCGCAGCCCCCACAAGTCGCTAAGTTGCCAAAAATGCTGCTAACGTCGCTGTATTTGTAATTCTTTGAATAATTAGTGTTCATCAATTAATTTTTATTAATTAAAATTAAATTACTGTATTGTCATCCAAAACAATCGTGTATATAAAATTTCAGCTCAATTGAGCGCTTTAAAATGTATTTTATTAACAATTGAGAGAATTTGAACAAAAATATAGAGAGAGAGAGAAAGTGTGAGCTAATAGTAGGAATTGAAAAAAAGAATATGTTTTACATCTGTTACTGACACACACAATTAACTTTTCTACTTTTTAAACTCCAAGGATATCATAATGCTGGAGTAACCAATAGTCACGTAGTACTTTTTTTCTGTGCCGTTTTAGCACTTTCTACTTCTGCTATCAAAAAATAGTTTTTTCACGAGTAAGTGCAGCACACTGCTTTCCTTTGTCTCACGCGTATTTAATAGAAATTCTTATTTCTCTTGCATTAAATCTTTCTTAATTACAGGTTGGTATCTCATTCCTGCAGAAGTCATTGCTTGAAAACAAGTTGCAAAAATATTTGTTAATAATCCAAAATGTAAAATGCACCATCCAAATTCTGTGTTTTAAAGCAATAAAATGGTTGGTAAACACACATCGTTGCAAAGCAGCTATAAACTGCTCAAAATTGACTAAAAGCACCCAGAACCGGTTCAAAGAACTTCCAAGTGCCGTACTTCATACTTTAACGATCAAGTAAACGTTATTCTATAGAATACCTAGCTAAATCATAGAATTTAATAATTTTACATACTTTAACTGACTTGTCTTATTACTTCAAGAAATACCTAGTTTTTCTATGAAATAACGGATTTCACACTTTAACGGTAACATACATATTGTTAGTAGATCGGGGTTCGAAGATTTTACGCTATCAGTCCTAAAAAGCAAAACAGTTCGCAGTTGTAAAATTAGCAAAATAAGTTCCAGAAGACCTTCACTCCTTCTACTGCGCTCAGACACAAATATCAGTGTCTAAAAATACAAATACGTAATGATTAAAATTATTCGTAAGGACTCACTCGACTAGCAACTAATCGCTAGTCGGCTCTTCAACAGTCAAAACAATACTAACTCAATTTCAGCTAGCCAGAAGCATCCGTATGATCGCCAAAATGGTTGCCAAAAATGATGCCATCTTGACTCTGTGGGACACAGGATGATTAATGAACGAGGCGATGTTTTCAGATTTAGATGACTTGCTTTATTTTCATGTTCGGTAACTGCTCTCAGAATATATATATATGAGGAGTTGAGAAACTCTACAACTCTATCGCCAACATTTTGCCAAGTTTTCATTGAATCGTCATTATAATGTAAGGAACGGCGTTGCTTGTTGATATTACAATTTTAGCATAAAACTAGCACAACAGAGAGTAATATTAACGTATTACATATCCCAGATATAAAAATTATTTACACTATGTTAAGCATACATTACACAAAATTCGTGACAGTATTTTAACCCCATTTGTATTTTAAAGCATTCGCTTAAAAACGAAAAAAATAATCACATTGCATCACCTAGCGTCGTTAGAAAATCAACACAAATCCAACGAATCACTGACAGTAATGTCAGATAAATAATTTTTCTTTAGCTAATTTTTTTTTATCTTAGCTTGCGTATAAAAAGGGATACGAAAAAAAAAGACCAAAAATTGAATAGATTTTCAATTAATTAAAAATAAACATATTTTAAAAAAGATCATAATGAAGTTGTCCCATGCCTGTTACGTATTTCTAAAACAGCAAACGTAATCTTAAAATAAAAGCGGTTTTATTTTCAGTGTTTACACTATGTGTGTGAGTGTGTATATATGTATATATAGCAGTAGCACACACAGAAATTTTTCAAGGGGGTCCGGGGTCGAAAGTTCACCATTCTTGTATTTTGTTCCTTTTGATTTTATCGGTTTTCGGGAACAAAACACAGTAAAAAACTAATTATTAAATAAATAAATAACATTAATTAATAAAATTAATCATTAATAACAAATACTTAATTAAATTTTACGTATTATATACTTAGAGTTATAATCAATCAAAAAAAATCGACTGCTTTGGAGTGGGTCCGGAACCCCAGGTTTTCCCCCTTGTATGCGCGCGCCACTGATATATAGTAATCTCCTCGTTTTAATTTATAAAAGAATGTTTTGAAATTTTTATCTCTCTTAATTAATAAAATCTTATCTTATTTAATTAATATAATAATTATTATTAATAATTATATAATCTTAATTAATATAATCTTATAATAATTAATAATCTTAATTATATAATCTTATAATAATTAATAATCTTAATTAATATAATCTTATAATAATTAATCTTATAATATATAATCTTATAATAATTATTAATAATTTTAATTAATATAATCTTAATTAATAAAATTAATCATTAATAACAAATACTTAATTAAATTTTACGTATTATATACTTAGAATTATAATCAATCAAAAAATCGACTGCTTTGGGGGTCCGGAACCCCAGGTTTTCCCCTTGTATGCGCGCGCCACTGATATATAGTAATCTCCCCTCGTTTTAATTTATAAAAAAGAATGTTTTGAAATTTTTATCTCTCTCTTAATTAATAAAATCTTATCTTATTTAATTAATATAATAATTATTATTAATAATTATTAATAATCTTAATTAATATAATCTTATAATAATTAATAATCTTAATTAATATAATCTTATAATAATTAATAATCTTAATTAATATAATCTTATAATAATTAATAATCTTATAATATATAATCTTATAATAATTATTAATAATTTTAATTAATATAATCTTAATTAATAAAATTAATCATTAATAACAAATACTTAATTAAATTTTACGTATTATATACTTAGAATTATAATCAATCAAAAAAATCGACTGCTTTGGAGTGGGTCCGGAACCCGGATCCTTGTATGCGCGCGCCACTGATATATAGTAATCTCCCCTCGTTTTAATTTATAAAAAAGAATGTTTTGAAATTTTTATCTCTCTCTCTCTCCCCTCTCTTTTAAAGTAATTTTCAAAATAACCAAACATCAAAAAGGAAAGATTTTTAGTTGAATCGATCCCCGGCAAAAAAATACGAATAACAACAATCCGCTTTTTCATCCCTGCCGGGATTCGAACCCGGGACCTTTGGATTAGAAGTCCAACGCGCTAATCCACTGCGCTACAGGGACTGTGAATAGCAGTTCAAATTTGTCTTCCACTTTGGGACAGATAGAAAGAACAACGGTTTTGATATTGATAAGGTTCTAATTTTGGAATTTTTTCAAAGTGTACCCAATAAAATAAAGATAACGAATTCCATGTCCGCGATACTGATTCCAACGAGACTCTGCACCAATTTTGTGACCCTTTCCATTGCCAATAATATTCGTATGAATATAAAATAATGTTTATTTATTTATTTTAAAAAAAAAGCCTCTTGTCTGTACGAAAATATCCCACCCTTAGATGTTCAATGTATTTATATAATAAAGTCATAAGAATATTTATTGCGTATCTTGCTGGTGCAATGGATATGCTTGGCATAAATATATAACTTCAAGGAATATAATAAAAAAAAAAAAAGAAAAGAAATTTGACCAGAATATTAAAATATACCAAACGATTATGACACGCTAGAAATTTATCACAAAGAGTAAAAGAGGCTTTGCAATAGAAAATTAAAATTGAAGTAGTTTTGGAAATAATCCAAATTAACTCCTTCTCTTGTTTAATTTTAATAAGTTCACTGGAAACTGTGCGTGAAGATATATACTAAAACAATTGGCAACATCTTGTAGTCGTTTTTTGAAATCTGACTGATTTAGATTATGATGTTTAAAATCCATGCAATTATTTTATCTTCACTAATACTAAAGCAAATTATCATATTGTACTAATTTTATGCATATTTATCTTATTATGGTATTTTCCATTTTTTGTGGATATGAAAAAATATTTAATTAATGTCTATAGTTTCTTGCGATATATTTTGCATATCTAAAAATATTCAAATTTTTATAGAAATTTTTCAATATACAAAAAAAAAAAAATATGGAAATTGCCATCAATTTTTTAAAATTTTAACTGAGAATTTCTACATGTATATATAGAGAAGTTAAAAAATTCTTGCTATATCAAGAATTCATTCCTTAACAGGTTTCCG